AACGACTGCGCCACCAGGGAAGCCCTACACACGTATTCTTAGTCCTGGTTGGGATACTCATCCTGCTGTATTTGACGAGGGTAATGACCCGCCCACCAAGCACGAGAGTCCCCTGTCCCGCCGGAGCCCAGGGCATGCAGGTGTGTCTTCTCGCCCCTTTCTGGCTACGTCATTGGTCTTTGGGAAGCACCAGGCGCTGGAGCCTTGTTTGCGGCAACCTGTCCCTGTAGCCTCAGGGACTGAGGACAGCGAGAACAATGTCTTATTGGGGCGATCAGAGGCTGGGGGGCAGGACTTTGTTGTCTGAGGGTTGGCTTGAGGCAGCCATGAGGAGGAACGGGTGGATGTGATCTTAGGAACACGTAGCTAATGTGCAATGCTTTCTGGGAAAGAGCACTGCCGTCACGGCACTGAAAGGGAGCGGGGACCGCTGGCCACGGCACTGCCTGGACCTCCTCGCCTCCCTCCTGCTCTTTAGCCCTGATGCCACCACAGCTGCTGGAGCTCTGAGTGTGCACACACACACGTGTGTGTATGTGTGTCTGCGTGTGACTGGTGGGGAGTGGTGGCAGCAACAAGGCCACCTCTGTCCCCCACTTCTCTCTTCCGGCCCCGCAGGGCAATACACGGCCACGCCCTCCGCCCCCTCTGTGGCTTTGCTTCTCCTGGGTGGGGATGAGGGCTGGGTCCTCCCACCTCCTGGGGACTCACCAAGGACCTGCTGAGCCAGCCCAGGCCCTGACACTCCTGTAGCAACTCTAGGCCCTGCAAAGCCTGACATCCGCACTTGTGTCTCAGACGCAGGAAAGGGGGCTGGTCCCGGAGCCGGGGCCTGTACTGCTTCTCCCACTTCCTACCTGAAGTTTGGTGCCCACCGGGGACTCCCACCTTGGCCCGGCATTAACAGGATCTGCACAGGCCAAAACAGCATCTCCATCACTCGGCACTTTTGGATGGTGTAACCCACTTCCCCTCCCCCCTGCCCCCCCCCACCCGACTTTCATGTCCAGGTATTTTAACGAGAGTGTCAGCGGTTTTGCTTGGGTTTAGAACAGGGATCAGTAAGCTATGGCCCCTGGGCCAAATCCAGTCCCACTGTCTGTTTTTATAAATAAAGTTTTATTGGAACATAGCCATGCCCATTCACTTACATATTGTCTAGAAAGCCTAGAATATTTACCATCTGGCTCCTTATTTGCTGGCCCCGGCTTAGAAGGGACCTTAAACTTGATCTGCTCTAGCTCAGCATTCCAAGCGCTTGGGTCTGGCCCAAAGACAGCGTCCACCTGTAGGACCAGGTATGGTGACCAAGAAGATGGCTAACAGTGATCTTCGTTCAGTGTACGGAGCACGGTCTAAAAATAAAAACAAAAAAGTGAAAATGCCAGTTTTCCAGGTCCTCTCTGGAACATCGTCTCAGCTGAGTCTTAGGTAAGCGTGGGACACCCATCTTACAGAGGAGCAAACTGAGGCTCAGAAAAGCTAAGGACGAATCCTAGGCAGAGAAGGCCGAGGATTGGAAGCTGGGGGAGTAGGGCTGTTGGAGGAATGATGCAGAGTCAGGTGGTGAGGTTGGGGCGGAGCCTGGAAGGGAACGCCCTGCCAGGCTACAGTCCCCAAAAAGAGGGCTAGTGGATCTCTGCGGCCACATTTGGAAGTAGACGGAAAGCGGAGGGCAGCTGGATGGCTTTAGTGGCCTTGCGTGGCAAGGAGGTGGCTGTGTGTGGACAGCAGGAGGTGTTGGCCTGGACACAGGGTGGGGTTGGGCAGGTGACAGGTGAGTCAAGAGTGGCCCTAGGGTTGCCACAGTGATTGACCACCTAGGAGGTGACTCAGATGGCAGGACGGCCCAGGAACAGCAGAAGGGGTGGTTCACGTCCCTGGCTAGGCCCCAGGGTGCCCTTGTGTGGGAGTGGTCCTGAGATGCTGCAGGCATCTTTGCCTGCCCTCTCTGCCCCCTCTCCCCAGCCTCTTCCTCCCAGGGACCCCCCCTGTGCTCAAGGTCACATGGTCCAGGGGCCAGAAGGGCTCCCCCGCTTGGATGGTTCCCAACATGGGGGGCCAGGAGGGTAGGAGCTTAACACGAGGGCCATGTAAGTAAACCTGCTTGGCAGCCAGGAGGTAGAATCTCAGAAAGGGAAGAGCTGGTGGAGCTGACCTGGACAGACAGCCGACAAGTCACTGTGAGGTTACGTTGTCTTTTCTGACCCCTTGTTCTGAGGCTGGACTGACCTTGCTGCCACGAGATTCCTTTTCGCCTCCGTCTTGTGCTTTCCTACTGCAGTGATCCCTGTGCAGGGCCCTTAGTCTGGCTCGGGGGTTGGCCGACTACCTGCTGGTCTGTTCTTGTAAATAAAGTTTTATTGGAACTCAGCCAGGCTCACTTACTTATGCATTGTCTGTGGCTGCTCTCGTGCTACAGGCAGAGCTGAGTTTGCACAGAGACTGTTGGGCCCACAAAGCCTAAAACATTTACTAGCTAGCCCTTGACAGAGAGAGTTTACTGGTCGTGGTCCAGCTGAAGTAGGAGTTATATGTGTGCACAGACCCAGGTTTACTGGCCCATGAGCCCCTCTCTCTCTCTCTTCCCTTCTCGTCCCCCCGACCCCTTCAACCCTCCCTCCCCCGCAACCTCTGACTTGTCCCCAACCTACTTGTTGTGGTCCTTCTCTGTTCCCACCCATTTCTCTCCAAGTATTTTAAATTAATGTGTTAGTAGGACTTCTCCCCACCACCTTCCCTTCGCACACAGCCCACCTGCCCTGGGTCTCCTCTCCCCCGACCCCCAGCCTCCCCGTGACTCTTCCCACCTGTTCCCATGGGTCGTGGGTAGAGTGGGATCTTCAGTACCGTGAGATTCTGGGAGAGAGGTCCTTCCTGCTGTGAGGCCAGAGCCAGCCGACAGGACGGCGACAGACTGCTTCACTCCAGGAAGCGGTGAAATGAACTCCCTTCAGATATTAATCCCCTCCTTGTCCTCCCAGAGAGCTGACCTGTGTCCCCACAGGGTCCTGCACAGAGAGGTTGCTGGGCACCAGCCAGAGCGGGTGTCCAGACAGAGATGGGTGTGGGTGCGTCTGACTTTGAGATCTGCCTTGGACCAGCTTTCCCCCGGCTCAGAAAGATGCTGTTGGGGAGGCATGGAAGAGGGGGGTCAGGGAAGGCCAAGCAGCCAGTCTCTGCAGTTACCAGGACCGCGTTTCCACACCAAAACCCAGGCTCCCCGCATCCTGGTAATCAGGCCCCAGAGCCATGGGTGCGCGCTCAGCAGGGCCCTGGGGGGAGTCCTGGAGGTTTCGATGGCTCTTGAGAGTTGATGGGACTGAAATCTTGAAACTGGGATTGTCCTGGGAGTTCTAGATCGTGAGGTCACCGTATCCACAGAACTTTCCAGAACCAGGGTGGTTTCCTGGCCGCCGAGGGACCCCTCAGCTCTGTACAGCTTTGCAAACATTTGACACGAGGGGTCCCAGCCCCTCTCTGAAGCAGTGCCCATGAGGGAACCCCTTGTTCCACACCACAAAGGGGAGGGCGAGAAGGGTGACCTGCCCACGGAGGTAAGGAGGTCCGGGCCAAGGGCTCCCACTCGGGTGTCTGCCGAGAGCCAGTCTCGAGGGGCCCTGGCCACCCTGAGGACGGCGTCTCACGGGGCCTCTTCCCAGCTGAGGGGAAGGCGTCTCCAGGGCAGCCAGAGACCAGACCGGCGTCCGCCCCGCGCAGGTCCCGCCCCTCCTCCCGGCCCTGCTGGTGCCTGGGCGCCCGACAGGGAGGCCAGCGGTCCCAGGTTCCCAGATTTCCCGCAGCCGGTCCCTGCCCTCGCCCCCCGGCAGGCGCTGTCTTCTGCCACAGTGAGACAGCAACACGCCCGCTGCAGCCCCTACACTGGGCTCCTTTGTGTTCCCCTTGACCCAGGCACCATCGTGCTCCTTGGAACAAGTGGCCCTGGGGTGCTTCTCCAGCAGGCGCCGATGGCCTCTCGCCCAGCTCCTCTGTATCCTCGTTTAGTTGTGTTTATGTAGCCAGGAGCCTGCCTGCTCCCTTGTCTGGTCAGTCCTGGGAGCCCATGCCCCCCCAAACCAGGCAGCCAAGAGCCCCTTCTGCGGGCCGGGGGCGGGGGTGGGGTTCTGATGGCGGGAACTACCTTCTCTCTTGAGTGAGTCTCGGGAAACCCAGGTAGCTCGCAATTGTCCCTTCTCCAAGGCGGGCACCGGGGACAGGCGTGGCAGGGATGGCCGGAGTCCTGCCCATCGCACGTTTCAGCCCCTCCCCCTGGTGCTGCCAAGACAGAGGACGATGGACGGATGCACCGAGATCTCTCCTCCAGCCCAAGGCTCCGATTTCCCTTAAAGGAGCCAAGGGATGGTGGAGCCAGGGCGGGAGTGAGGCATCTTGACGAGTCGGACTTCCTCCCCAGATGGGCTGTGGGGACCCGAGGAGACGTTGAAGAGTGTGGGCGGGAAGGGGTGGCCGTCTACGAGTTGGTCCAGAGCTACCGGGGCTGAGAGCCTTTGCGCCCACCCGACTCGGGGCCCGTTGGGGGGTTGCTGCGGCCCCAGGGACCGCTGACCAGGAGCTTTATGTGCACTGGGGTTCCCTTCCCTGGTGTGAACCGGCGGTACGTCTTCGGAGGCGGCTGTGCCGGAAGAGAGAGGGACCGGGAGGTGGCATCTCAAACAGCTTCTGTTGACACTCGGGGGTTCACCTTCCTTCCAAACAGCCGGCGCAGGGAGTAAGTGTCCCCTTGCTTCGACCAGGAGAGATGCCCACTGCACTGGGCTGATTTCGGCATCGGGCCACCTTGGCCTTCTGCCCTGAGAAACCGTGATGAGGTATTTGGTGAGCCTCGGGCTGGGCACCTGACACAGTTACGAGTGGTGCCCACCCCTAGTCCGCTTGTCCACGTAGACCGTCAGGTGGACGGCCTCCCTCCTTTATGCCAACCTAGCTGCGGGGACAGAAGGGAATTTCACTGTGTGCCGAGGCTCTGGCCTGCCCGGAATCCGGTGTTATAGGAGCCCGGAAGGCAGACTGCTGGGACGTGCCGGCGTGACACGAACCGAGTTAGTTTCTCCCCTTCTCTCCGCATCTCCTGCTCACTTGGCCTCCTGTTTCTCCTTCCATCCACTAGGCAGTACCAGATGCTCCACACCGGGCAGAGGCCGCCTAGCAAACTCCCTTAGGAGTGCCGTCCAGGCCTGATTGGGAAACTGGAGAAGAGGCCCCGTGATTGATGAGTTTGCCTTGGGTGTTGGTGACCAGGTGAAACGGGAGGCCGACATGGGTCAGAAGGTCACTGGAGGTATCAAGACGGTGGACATGAGGGACCCCACGTACCGGCCCTTGAAGCAGGAGCTCCAGGGTCTGGACTACTGCAAGCCCACCCGCCTGGACCTGCTGCTGGACATGCCCCCCGTGTCCTACGACGTCCAGCTGCTCCACTCCTGGAACAACAATGACCGCTCGCTCAACGTCTTTGTGAAGGAGGACGACAAGCTGATCTTTCACCGGCATCCGGTGGCCCAGAGCACGGACGCCATCAGGGGCAAAGTCGGGTACACGCGCGGGCTGCACGTGTGGCAGATCACGTGGGCCATGAGGCAGCGTGGCACCCACGCCGTGGTGGGGGTGGCAACGGCAGATGCCCCCCTGCACTCCGTGGGGTACACGACACTCGTGGGGAATAACCACGAGTCCTGGGGCTGGGACTTGGGGCGCAACCGGCTCTACCATGACGGCAAAAACCAGCCGAGCAAAACGTACCCAGCCTTTCTGGAGCCGGACGAGACGTTCATTGTCCCTGACTCCTTCCTGGTGGCCCTGGATATGGACGATGGGACCCTCAGCTTCATTGTGGATGGACAGTACATGGGAGTAGCTTTTCGGGGACTCAAGGGCAAAAAACTTTATCCCGTAGTGAGTGCTGTCTGGGGCCACTGTGAGATCCGCATGCGCTACTTGAATGGACTTGACCGTAAGTGTCTTCTGCTCTGTCTGAGGTGGCAGTGTCCCTGGACTCCCTCTGTCCCCTTTGGTCCTCGCTGGGCCCAGTTAGAATTTTACAGTTGTTGAAATTTAAATGTCTTTAAGTAGACATCCCAGCATTCAGATCCTCAGAGGCGACTCTTGCCTACCTCTGGTTAAGTGAGGGTTTCTAGCCAGAGTCTGCAGAGTACATGGCAGCACCTTGTGGATGGATGGATGGATGGGTGGATACGTGGGTGGGTGGGTAGATGGATGGATGGATGGATGGGTGGATGGATGGATGGGATGGATAGGTGGGTGGATGGGTGGATGGATGGATGGATGGATGAGTGGATGGATGGATGGATGGATGGATGGATGGATGGATGGATGG